TCTGTTTAGTTAAGATTCTCTTATCCCCTGCTATGTTAATAGCTTGTTAGACCATGCAAGAGCCTCCTGTATGTGATTAACGTTCAATTTAGAGATTGAGATACAATTATTTAAGGTAAATTACATCTGTTTGAAAGTGAAACCAGTTTTTTTTTTCATGCAAGCTCTGTCAATCATAACCAGGGGAGGTTTGGTTAGGGCTGCATAAACAGAATCAAAGTAATTTAACTCCTAAATGACAGTGAATTGAGCAGTGAAATTGCAGGGGAATGATCTATACACGAAAACTGCTTTATTTAGCTAAAGTAATTTAGGTGACTATAGTGTTCCTTTAAGTCCTGCCAGTTGTGAGGAGGGTCCTCTATGGTTCAAATTTGTTGTTCCAGCACATCCCACAGATGCTCAAAAGGGTTTAGATTTGGGAATTTAGAGGTCATTGCACCTTGAGCTCTTTTTGTAGTGTGGAAGGGTGCATTATGCTGCTGATATAGACCACTGACATGAGGGAATACCATTGCCATGAAGGAGTGCACATGGTTTGTAACAATCTCTAAGTAGGTGGTACATGTCAAAGTAACATCCACATGAATGCCAGGACCCAAGGTTTCCCAGCAGAATATTGCCCAGAGCAATAACACTACCTCTGCCAGCTTGCATTCTTCCCTGGCCATCTGCCTGATCTAAAGCAAAATGTGATTCATCAGACCGTGCAACCTTCTTCCATTGCTCCATGGTCCAGTTCGAATGCTCATATCACCATTGAAGGCACATTTTTTTATGCATAGGGGTTGTGATGGACACTTTTGTCAGTCTGCAGCTGTGCAGCACCATACGCAGCAAACTGAAACGCACTTTGTGTTTTGACAACTTTCTATCATGGCCTGCATTAAGTATATCAGCAACTGAGCTACAGTATACCACCCATGCTTTTCTGCATTATCGGACCAGACAGGTTTGCCTTTGCTCCACCCATGCATCAGTCAGTCTTGGGTGCCTATGATGTTGATGCCAGTTCACTGGTTGTCCTTCCTTGAACATCCCATAAGACTTGCCATTTTGGAGCTCTAAACCAGTTGTATAGCCATCACTTTTTGGCCCTTATCGAAGTCACTCAAATCTTTTTGCTTGTCTATTTCTCCTGCTTCCAAAACATGAAATTCAAGAACTGATTGATCACTTGCTGCCTAATATATTCCACCCTTTGACAGGTGCCATTGTAATGATATAATCAATATTATTCACTTTACCCATCAGACTTCAACAATAGCAGAATCAAGCAACAGAACCTCATTGATGATCCAGTTAGAGCATTTAAAATACCTTGAGAGCAATCTGCAATTATCCATACAGTCAGTGGTTTTAATATTGTGGCTGACCAGTGTATGTGTATTTAACTGTTAACAGTGGAGTTGTCCTGTCTCTTTTAGCATGAGTGGACATGAGAGATCCCCGGCAGGATGACCAAAGAGCACATGGTATTCCAACGCTGGTCTCTTCTGGGCAGAGAGCCAATTTGATTGGGGTGAAATAGGTAGGGAGCAATGGCTTTAGCCAGTTGGCTAAAATACTTGCAAACAGCTTCAGTTCTACCTTGGTCAGTGAGATCGGGTGATAGCTTCCACAAACAGCCAGATCTTTACCTGATTTGTGTATAAGAGTAACAGTAGCCAGCAGGGATTAAGGTGGGAATTGCATTAAAGCCTTTTAAAAAGTGAGGAGTGTCAGGGTTCTTACCTAAGATGGGAGTGTGTAGCGCAGATATGTATGCTCACCCTTGCAGATAGTCACAGTCCAAGGTGACCAGATAAGACGCCACCTCGACTGTGAATCTGTGCACGGGGGCTATGCAGGAAAGGTGATTCCAATGCAGTACCGACAAGGACACAAACAGCAGGATAGTCAAGGGATAGCATCAAAGGATGCCAGAGGTCAAGATTAACAAAGTGTAGCCAAAGTCAAGGGATGCCAGAGATCAGAATAAACAAAGACAGAAGCCGGGGTCAATATGGAGTAAAAGTTCAAGAGACTGGAACACAGGGACTGAACTCACACAACAGAATCAAAGACTTGATAAAGCTCCCAGGGCAAGGCTGTATTGATATATCCTGCTGATGACTGATCGGATGATGACGAAGTCCAGCCCAGAGTGCTGCAGACATAGCCAGAAATAATAGGGCTAGAACAGCACACCATAAAAAGAACTGTTGTGGCTCAAAGGTAGATAGCAGGCCAAGACCAGCAAAGCACCCATGTTCAAATCCCCTGTTGGGTACCCACAGTGCTGTCATCAGAAATTGTGGGGCCCCTAACACAGCTCAAGGTCTGGGCCCCCTAAATGCTTGGGCCACCTGATGGGCCCTGGTGCAGATGCACCTGCAGCAGTTTCTCCGCTCCACGTGGGGCCTGGGTGGCTGTGCCTGTGACAACAGTCATGGTTGTCACCCCCTGATGGTGGCCCTGGGCACCCATGGGGCAGCCACACCGACTGTCTGTATGACATAGTGAGAACCCTGACAAGGAGCTAATAAGTCAAAAAACTATTTACAATATTTCACCAAGAAACTGTTTCTTTTCTTAAGCTTAGATGACTTAAAAGCAAACTTGAGCTATTCTAGGGTAATAGGCTCCTCTATGAACTCAGTTGCCTCTGGAGATAGGGTGGTATGGATGTGTTTGGACAGATATGACCGGATACTGTCATGCAAGTCGACCCCAGAGATCGGGTTAGGGATATTATGCAATAGATACAAAAGGTCTCATCTATAGCTTTAATAGTGTAGACCAATTCTACTGAAGGAAATTTAATCTTTTCCACATAGGTGCATTGCCTTTGTTCTTTAAGAACTCTGGCCAGTAGTCTACTACTTTTGTTGTCAAATTTGTAATATTTAGATTTACATTTCTGCATGGTGTTCTGGACCTTAACATTACGTAAGGAGTTAAGATTAGTCCTGAGGGTGACCAGTTCCTGTAGAGTAGTATCTGCAACATTCATCTTGTGACTAGATTACAATGCTGCAATTTTCTGGAGTAACTCAGCAATTGAAGTTGGCTTTTATTTATCATAAGCTGCTGCACTGATCAAAACTCCCCTAATCACTGGCATATAGGATTCCCATAAAATAGTAGGGAGCACATTAGGAGAGGCATTTTCTTGGAAGTACTTTGTTATGGCAGACTTTAACTGTTGAACAATAACAGGATCAAGCAACAATGAAGGGGGAGGGGGAAGGCAATATTTAAAGAGAAGACAGAGCCCAAGTATCAATGGCAAGTGAACAAATAATCAATTCAGGACTATCATTTATGAGAGTAGGAAAAAAATGTAAAGTCCTTAACATCAGAGTGAGAAATGTACCAAATATCAACTAGGAACAGGTGAGATAGGGCAAGTTTCAATTGCAAAGTTTAGAATAGGAAATATTGGAGGCTCCTGTAGGGGTGTATTTTCCCAGGTCTAAAGCCATATTTAGGTCTCCCCCCAAAAAACAGAATACCTTCAGTGAATTGTCACCAGAACAACTACAGCTTATTGTATTTGATCTGGTGAATGTATTCAGTCCCTTCAGGCTTTTTGCGGTGAACACGGTCTTTTCAGAAAAAATGCAGTGTTTACATTACAGCCTAATGTCCACTGGCCACTCCTCAGATGGCTGCTAGAGGTGCTTCCTGGGGCAGTGCTGCACACTGTGCAGCAGTGGCATTCAGTATCTCCACCCTCTTCATGGAAACACTGAACTTTCCTCATAGAGATGCATTGAATCAAAAGATGCTGATTGGCCAATGCTTTGTTTGGCTTGTGCTGGCTCTGCCCCGATCTGCCTCCTTGAAAATATCAGCAAATCCAATGTTTTCCAATGGAAAATTATTGTGATTGCCTCAGATCACCACTTCTGATGATGTCATCCAAGAAGACAGATCAGGGGCAGAGCCAGCACCAGCAGACTTAAATAAAGGTAAGATTTTACAATATGTAAGGGGCAAGGGGGGCCCCAGGGGGCTAAATAGTGATTTTAACGCTATAGGGTCTGGAATACATGTTTGTGTTCCTGACCCTATAGTGACCCTTTAAGCACTCACAAAAGGAAAGTGTTCTAGTTAGAATTAATGGAAGTATATATTGGCAAATGTATAATGGAAGTTATCAATGAGTCACTTTAAAAAATAAACCTACCCCTCTGGTGCCTATATGTTTCAACATGCCGAAAACCGCACATCAAGAGTCAGCATCAAGAACCGCTACTCCTTTAGTCTTTGAGATAGGAGAAGAAGCAAGGCAGCTTTGTGTGAAGTAACAATTCTGGAGCTGAACATCCGAATCCAAGCAAGTGCATCTTCAGAACCTCCCTGTTAAGATAAGGAAGTGAGGACGTGACTGATGACAGGGATAAGGGGATGGAACTAAGGGAAATACTATGTTTCAACTTAGGGACATATTAAAAAGGGGTGAAGGGGGAAGGTACTCACCAGTCTCCTGGCAGAAGTGTAGTGAAGCTAGCTTTTCCCCAGGGGCTGTAGACTTTACTTTAAAAAAAAAGGTGACAGACCTTTTTTCGGTATCCAAAGACAGGTTATCGGGCCAGGATGTCGGTGGTGTCCAGAGAGGCAGTCGTGGCCTTGTTGCAGGCTTACCTTGAATCCAATGGCTCCAGGTCATAGAGCGGCTTCAGTGCCCACAGAGATGGAGTAGCAACAGATGGCGGTAGGAGTGCCAGGTGATCGCGGCCTCCTACATGCTTATCGCCCAGTCCAGCGAGGAGATCTGGAGGCAGCCGGCAGAGGGGAGATGCAGGCAGCAGCTGCATGCGGTCCCCAGGGCCTATCCAGGAGGTGAGGAGGAGCAAGAGGCCTATTGCAGGAGTCGGGGTTAGAGGACAAGATGACGGCATGGCGGGAAGGTCTCAGAACCCGCCTCTTTTCCGGTCTGGACGTCAGAAGTGACGTGCAACATCGGTGCCCTAGATGCGCCGGATTGGCGTCAGGATGCTGGAAGCAGGAGAATGTCGATGCCGGAAATGGAGCACAACATCGGCGCCCTGGATGCGCCCGATGTGCATCAGGGCGCTGCATGCAGGAGTATGTCGGCAGGTCGGAAGTCGGAGTCTGGTACACTGACCGGGACGGACACCGCACGCACAGGACCATCAGGAGATGGAGGTCGGATACCAGAGGAGAGGTTGGACGGCAGTACAGATGCCGGTCTTATGGGTGGACACTGGAGGTTCTGGATGGAGTCTGGATCGGGTGAGAAGGAATAGGAGATTCCAGGAGGTCGGGTGCCTGCAGTTCCCCAGCGGTTCGGTGAGTTAACTTGCGCTAGCACCTGGGGGTCTGTTGGGGGTCAGAATCAGTCAGATGATTGGTTGCGCTTGCTCAGGGTAATAGTGGATAGGTTTCCCTCGGGTCCCACAGGTCGAGTACAGGAGTCTTCCGGGCAGGTAATGGGGAGCCGGAGTCAGTACACTGGGGTGTTTCGCCTTTGTCTGGCAGGATGTGATTTGGCCCCTTTGGGCCTTTATGTGCCTCAGGATGTCCATGAAAAATTAGCAGAGATGAGTTCGTTGATTTTTTCTCGCTGGTCCCTCCGGATTAAGAATCTGTGGACAGGCCACGACGTGGAGAGGTTCCAGATGCGGAGAAGGGTAAGCACATCCCCAAAACATTTGGGAATTGGCTTCAAGGGCTTAATGTTTTTGCTAGCATTCTGGCGCTTTGGTTTCCGGAAAGGGTGGCATTGCTGTTTGGGTATTTAGATTTAATCTGGTGCGCATATAAACTCTACGGGGGCAATGCGGGTTTCGCTACAACCAGCCGTTTTGCCAAAAGATGGCAGCGTGCCTCGGAATGGATTTCCGGTCCAGGACGGCAGCTTGTGGCTGTTAACCATGACCCCCAGTAGGCCGCCCCCCTTTCCTGGGCCACCCAGAAGAGACTCAGGCACGCCGGCAGTGTCTTTAATGAGAGGTGGTACAGCTCCTGCAGATTCCGGCACGAATGTGCCCATTGTGGAGGAACACATCCAGCAATGTGCTGCTTCAGAAAGGGCAAGCTGGCTGTCGCAAAGGGTTTAACTAGTTCCTAGAGGAGAGGACACTGGTGGATGTGGTGAGGATGCGCCCGTGTCTCCACCGCTACCCTAGGCATTGCGACACCCAGGTCTCGTTTGATGCATTTACGTTAGGGTTTTGGATTCCGTTCGTTGAGTCTTCATCGACTCAGTTCGCTGACAACCCTGCGCTCTGTTCGGGGTAAGGACTTCAGAGGAAATTGGACGTCGAGGTTCAGCGGGTTCGCATGGCGGATTGAGTTTCCCCTGTTTTCCAATTTGCTGGTTTCCCCTCTGGGTTTAGTTCCCAAGAAGGGGGCAGGTTCATTTTGTTTGATCCAGCACCTGTCCTATCCAGCGGGCGGTTCGGTTAATGACGACATCAGAAAAGAGGTGTGTCAGGTTCGCTGTGCTTGAACCAACTCCTAATTTGGAGTTGGTTCAACATGCAGGGGCCGGGCCCTTCTGGCAAAATTCGACATTGAATTGGTTTTCCATCTGTTGCCGGTTCACCCCGCTTGCTTTCAGTTCTTGGGCTTTGTTTTTCCAGGGTTTTTTCTATTATTACATGTGTTTACCCATGGGCTGTTCTATTTCTTGTCATTACTTTGAGATGTTTTCTTAAATGGGTTACAGTTCAGTCATCTGGCTTGTTGGCGGTTACCCATTATCTGGACGATTTTTTGTTCATTAGTTCGTCAGATTTTCAACTATTATACTAGCAGTCCAGGTATAATTAAGATTAGTAAAGCAGTTAGACTAGTCCTCTCTCTTTATAATAGATGCCCTCGAAGGCACAGAGCTTTGTTGCTTTTTCATTTAGGATTTTAGGAGCCTAGTGTGAGTGGTTGTTAGGGTCGTTAGGGTCCGGTTACAGTGAATTTAGGGGTTTCAGTGGTGGAGAGCAAAACGGTGGCTCCGGTTACGGTCTTGTCCTTTTTAGGTATTGAAATCAACACTGTTAAAATGGTTTTTCGGTTGCCAGCGGACAAATTGTCTGTGCTCTTGCGCCTGGTGGATTTGGTACGTGGGGCCAGAAAGGTTTAGTTGCATCAAATGCAGGGGCTGTTGGGGCACTTGGCCTTCCCATGGGTCTGACTTTTTGCAGGCTTCTGTCGTTGTCTATGATGGGTATTCATGGACCTTTTCACTTTATTCAGGTCACGCGTCACCTGCGTGCAAACCTTCAGGTCTGGAGTTCCTTCTAGGAGCGCTACAATGGACACTCCTGTTGGCTGCGGGAGGCTACGTTGAACTTTTTTAAGGTTTTTAATCTGTTCACAGATACATCCGGTTTGGTGGGGTTCGGAGCATATCTTCAGGGTCAATGGTACGCGGAAGCGTGGTGGGTGAGAAGGCTAGGCTTGGATGTGATCTGGAATTTGACCTTTCTGGAGCTGTTTCCCATTGTGGTATTCTTGGAGCTCTGGGGCGAGGCCCTTCGAAATCAAACTGTGTTTTTTACACGGACAACATGAGTGTTGTCCATGTGATTAATCGCTCCTCCTCGAGTTCCCCCCAGTCGTGGCCCTGCTACCTCGGTTGGTTTTGCTAAGTTTAACGTTTAATATCTAGATAAAAGCCATGTGCCGGGTGTGTTAAACGTGGTGGCTGACTCTCTCTCTCGGTGTCAGTGGGACCATTTTCTGGAGTAAGCACCAGAAGCGGAGTTGGTAGGTCTGAGATGCCCAGAATCCTTATGGGGGATCACTTTGGAGGATTGAGGGGATTAGTAGTGGACTCATTGTCCGAATTTTTCTGGAGGTCATCTCGGGAGGTGTGGTGGCACTGGTTGTCCCTTGTCTCCAATGGTCCGGGGGTATCGACCAAGTCGGGGCATTAATCGGCCGAAAAGTCCTTGCCCGCATTGTCCTTTTTGTGTAGGTTTATGGGATGGCGGGAGATCTCTCTCGAGTATTAAACTGGTGATATGGGGTTGGAGGCTCAGAGAGGCGCCAATCGGTTCTGTGTCAGTGGAGTTGTTGTGGCGTACCTTGGCAGCTCTGGGGATGTTTTTTTATTCAGGATACGAGACGTTATTATTTTGTGTGGCGTTTTCCTTTTGGTTTTTTGGGGGGCTTTTCGCGTGGGGGAATTGGTAATGCTGCTGTTGGTATAAGATATTCGCTGGTCCAAAGCGGTGGTTGACATCTTTATTCGCCTTTATTCTAAAACTGAACAAGAAGGTAGGGGTACCTGGACGCGCATAGGTTCCATGGGTGGGGAGTTTTGTCCAGTACGTTTGTGTTCTTCATACTTGAGTCAGAGTCAAGAGAGCGAGGTATCCCTGTTTATTCACAGAGATGGTTCTCCTCTTATGCGCTACCAGTTCACAGCTTCTCTAAAACTGCTATTTTTGCATCTGAAGGGTTAAAACCTGAGGGACCTGGAACTCAGACTACTTCATTGAGCTGAAGTGGTCTAGGTGACTATAGTGTCCCTTTAAGTAGCCACAAATACTTTATTACAATATAAACAGAATAAAACCACAAAGAGTTTCTCCCCTTAGGGCTTTTGCAAGTGGATAAAAACATACCTTGGCATCAACATACTTTTATAGGCTTCTGATTTGGAAATAAGCACCAAAATGATGTCACCTTTGAAGAGACGCTTACCGGCAAACGTGCCTCCGATACCAGTACTCTCATGCTACTTCGAATCTTTTTCTAGTTATATGTTATAAGATATGCAACTATTGTTGAGACTGGTGTTTGTTGATATCGGGGATTTATATCTGTTTGAGACTTGCTCGATATAAATTAGGACCAGGTGTGTATTTGTCCGTTCATATCCACTCTATGTTTCAATATCTGATTTTCAACCATTATACTAGCAGTCCAGGTATAATAAAGATTAGTAAAACAGTTAGACTAGTCCTCTCTCTTTATGATAGATAGCCTCAAAGACACAGAGCTTTGTTGCTTTTTTATTTAGGATTTCAGGAGCCTAGTTTTTTGCTAAAAAAATTTCTGTACTAGACTTGTAGCTCAGTACGTCTCTATCAAGGGGTGCACTCAAAAGACACTGAAATTATTTAATTGTCGCTCTGCTAGACATCTGATGTTGCTCTAACCAGATCTGGGGTTTATATCTTGATATTTTTATATTCTTGAGCAATCTTTAAAACAATTGTTAAGCAACATCCCCTGCTTTGCTGTTCTTAAATTCAGCAACTGTTGTAAACCATTCTGTCTATTTGATTTACCTTCTATAGGCTTTGGGCTGACATTTTAATTACAGTGTTACATGAATAACATTTACAACAATCTCTAAATCTGTATGATCACTAGCTACTACACTGCTCAAAAAAATAAAGGGAAGAATAACACATCCTAGATCTGAATTAATTAAATATTCTTCTGAAATACTTTGTTCTTTACGTAGTTGAATGTGCTGACAACAAAATCACACAAAAATAAAAAAATGGAAATCAAATTTTTCAACCCATGGAGGTCTGGATTTGGAGTCACACTCAAAATTAAAGTGGAAAAACACACTACAGGCTGATCAAACTTTGATGTAATTTCCTTAAAACAAGTCGAAATGAGGCTCAGTAGTGTGTGTAATCTCCACGTGCCTGTATGACCTCCCTACAATGCCTGTGCATGCTCCTGATGAGGTGGCGGATGGTCTCCTGAGGGATCTCCTCCCAGACCTGGACTAAAGCATCTGCAGTCTGTGGTGCAATGTGACGTTGGTGGATGGAGTGAGACATGATGTCCCAGATGTGCTCAATTGGATTCAGGTCCGGGGAACGGGCGGGCCAGTCCATAGCATCGATGCCTTCGTCTTGCAGGAACTGCTGACACACTCCAGCCACGTGAGGTCTAGCATTGTCTTGCATTAGGAGGAACCCAGGGCCAACCGCACCAGCATATGGTGTCACAAGGGGTCTGAGGATCTCATTTCGGTACCTAATGGCAGTCAGGCTACCTCTGGCGAGCACATAGAGGGCTATGCGGCCCCCCAAAGAAATGCTACCCCACACCATTACTGACCCACTGCCAAACCGGTCATGCTGGAGGATGTTGCAGGCAGCAGAACGTTCTCCACGGCGTCTCCAGACTCTGTCACGTCTGTCACATGTGCTCAGTGTGAACCTGCTTTCATCTGTGAAGAGCACAGGGCGCCAGTGGCGAATTTGCCAATCTTGGTGTTCTCTGGCAAATGTCAAACGTCCTGCACGGTGTTGGGCTGTAAGCACAACCCCCA